AGCCATAGGTTAACAGTACCTGTATGAATGTTGTCATTGAAAGCTAAGTTGGCTGACTGATAAAACTTTTCTCAAGGCATTCCATTCATATATTCCAAGGAATATGCTTGGTGGATTGACATCTACCAAAGAGAAGATCTGTATGGGCATCATATTGGATTTTAGAGGGAAGAGAAGCTTAACACATGATTGGTAAATGCCACCCTTCACAGAATGACAATTCAGAAGGGCTCTCCAGAGTACATGTGTACCTGAGCAACTTCCTTCCTATCACATCTTTCAGTGCATGATTTGCCATTCTTTTTCTTAAATGTGGGTACTTAGGCAAGTGCCCAGAATGCACTTGTCACCTTTTCCTGAACTTAGAGTAAGCACAGCTGGTTTTCCGGTTCCTTCTTTCCTATAAAAGTATAGTCAGCTGCTCTTGCCTTTTAGTGACCTATTTGTTTTATTACCCTCAGCTGAGAATGAGGAGGAAGCCCCGGTCTCTCTCATCAGCAATGCTCAGAAGAAGGAACCATTTACAGCACTAGAGTAGCCCTGCTCAGCTTATGTTCACCTACTTGCTCTACTTGACCCAGGCTGAACAGAAACAGGTAGCAGCCCAGTGGCAAAGCACATTGGATTACTAGTAGTCCTCACTTACCGATTGCTTGTTCAATGGCTCTTTGAAGTTAGGATGGAGCTGAGAAAAAGAAATTTATGGCCAGTCCTCAAAGTTGCAGTCTTCCCTGAAGTCACATGATCACAATTTGAGCACCTGGCAACTGCCCCACACTTTTAAAACAGGCGCAGCTCTTGTGGTCATGTGATGGCCCTTTGCGACCTTCAGAGCCGGCTTCCCGCAAGTAAAATCGATGGGAAAATCAGAAGTTGAACTCATGTGGCATTGGGTTTAATAGCTGCAGCTTATTTGCTTCTGCCGGAACTGATGTCTTCAGTCAGGTGCGATCATGTGATATTTCACTTTATGACTGTGTCACTTAGTGTGGAGTTTCCAGTCCCATCTAGAGTTGGTAAGTGAGGACTACCTGTACTGAATGGGCTACAAAGAAGGATGGGGAGCCCCATCTCAGTGGAATGTAGTGGTGCCGATGACTTGCATCTCTTGCCAGAATAGGAATGGGGCTTTTATCATGAGGACAGGGCTGGGTGAGCACCTCTGGGTGGAAAGAGATCCAGCCAGTACAGTTCTGTGGTGAATAACATCCTGAATCAGGATGAAATGGAGGTTATTGTGAAGCTGTCCTAATGGAAAGTTTTGGACTCTTTGAGTTCTGAAAGAGTGATTTTTCCTTTTGTTATTATCCGAAGCACTATTTCTTAAAACACGCTTCTTTCCTTCCCTAGTTTCTCAAAAGGAACCCCAATCAACGAATCGGGGGTGGGCCAGGTGATGCTGGAGATGTGCAGGTAAAGTGGATTGGGGGGGGGGGAAGCAGATCCAAGAATTTGGAATTCTGAGCAGCTTTCTTCCCTTTTGACAAGCAAGTTAAATCCGAAGGTGATTTTGGAGAAGCTGCTATAAGCATGGGGCTATCGCTTCAGCAGGCTTTTCAAAAGAAGGCAGGGCATCAGCACCTTGCATTGTTCTTTCTCTAAACCATAATTAAATGCTTAAAACAAGTGCAAACTATTGGGGAGGGGGAGATGGAGAATTTTTTGATATTAGAAGTGAATATCAGCTCATTTTTAAGAGTAGAAGATTCATAATTTTGTAGAAATTTGAGATTTGGAATATGAGAACTGTGTTTGAGGATTTTTCATGTGTTTTAGATAGTATTAAATTCTTTATTTTCTCTTTTTAGAAACATCAGTTCTTCCGACACATTAACTGGGATGACTTGTTGGCCAGGAGAGTTGACCCACCATTCCGGCCATCTTTGGTAAAGCCACCACATCTCAGTCCTCACTCCTCCTATTACTGCCTTTTCTCTACTTTATGATCTTGTCCCTGACCGTAATAGGCCTTCTCAGAATCTTGATCTTGATTTGTAGCTTATATAATGTAAAATTGATAAGGACTGCTAAATTGGATGAGGCTTTTGTTGGATTTTCTTTTCACATAAAGAGGTTTCCTGGTATAAATAAATATAATTTGCCTAGTTCTCATATATTGCTAAGCCTAATCCTTTTGTACCAGGGGCTAATATTGTTTTGCCTCTCAATTTTCAGCTCTTTTCCACCATTTTCTTGGTGAAAATTGGGATTGCATTGCTGTTTGTGGCCAGATTTCTGAAGTATAGTCTTCGGATGGAGCCATGACAAAGTTGCAGAAATGGAGTAGATTTGCAACTCAATTTGACTTGCTTCCTTCTAATAAACTGCAGTGGTTATATTTATTTATTTATTGTGCAAAGAAAAGCCAAACAAGCTAATACCTGCCCACTTCACATGCTCCTTTGACAGTGCAGATTTTCATTACATTTTAAACATGTTTGATTCTACCCTCACTGTAGAACTTATTTATCTCCCTTTGGTAAGTACAACTGTATGGTATCTAATCTTATTATACAGTATAGCTCCTTTACATCATGTGCTAACAACGCATGCTTCTCCATGAAATTTCTGGAAAAAGAAAGGCCTTCATTTGTGTAGATGTTAACATAGACTAGAATTCACTCAGAACCAAAAGGCTAAATGATAGTATGATGAGATATCCAGAACATCTTTTTCCATCCACAGCAATCAGAAGATGATGTCAGCCAATTTGATACCCGCTTCACTCGCCAGACACCTGTGGATAGTCCTGACGACGGAGCTCTCAGCGAGAGTGCCAATCAGGCTTTTTTGGTAAGGAATAACCAGCTGGAACTATAGTGAGAAGGAAGAGGAGGTAGCAAAATCATTTTTGCACTCCTATTACGAAGCAGTGGAGAGAACTTTCTTCATCCCAGGTGCTACTTTTCCTATGACTAACGTTTGGGGACCACATGCCAGCTGCAGATAAAACCAGTGCAAAAATTCAGTGGTGACTCCCAACTTTTTGAAAAAAGTCTTAGATAACAACCACTTGCTGCTTGGAAAAAACTTTTCTTAAGAGCTGGCTTGAGATCCCAAAGGTGTTTTTTCAAAAGGCAACTAGTTCAGAACTGAAGAAGCTTCTTGGATGAGAAGTGAAACATCTTCAAGACAACAAAGTCCAGTTGCCTTTTGAAAGGACAACCATGACCTGGATGACTGAGAACCTCCAGCTGGTTTGGGAGCTGGTTTGGGAGTTGACTCTTAACCACCCTTGCCAACTGCAGTCTTAAAGAAGTTTCTCTCCTAGCAAACAGGCAGATCAAAAATAAAAAGCATTTTAAAGCGTATGTTTCATGCAAGGGGAATTGAAGGGAACCTAGGCTGAATCCAGCAGGTGATTCTAACTTTTGATTAAATGGGGAACTTAGGCATTCCAGGTATTGAACTACAACTTTCAGCAATCATTACTGGCCACATTAGCAAATTAGAGTTGCTGAGAACTGTTGCTTGCAACATTGGGAAGGCCACAAATTCCTCACTGTTGATCAATAGAAAGAAAGAACATAATTGAACCCAGATCCTGAAATGAAATTATGACCATAGCAATACTGACCAGGTGTTCCTCCCCTAGGGATTTACCTACGTAGCTCCATCTGTGTTGGAAAGTATCAAGGAAGGGTTTTCCTTCCAACCCAAGTTGCGATCTCCACGGCGTCTCAACAGCAGCCCCCGCACACCTGTCAGGTAAATCTGGAGACAGTTGGGAGAAAGTCTAGGTCTTCAGGTCATGTTCCTCAAGGGGCTGGCAGCAGGAAGGGTGTGGTGCTTGCTGAATCCTTGCTTCCCCAAGGGGAATGCTGTCCCTAAGGATACTGTTTGCTCTTCTGTCCAGATATTAGCGCCATAAGCAAGACTTTAAATGACTTAACTCTAACCTGTGCTTGTTTTTGCAGCCCGCTGAAGTTCTCACCCTTTGAGCCCTTTAAGCCAAGCACAACAATAGAGCTAATGGAGCTGTCGGCAACTCCTCTTGGGCCTGTACTAGAAGTCACGGCTCCACTGCCCATCAAAACACCTTCAGGCACCAAAAAGAAGAAGGGCCGAGGACGGGCACGATAACTGGGGCAGCAAGGAGATCTCCGGATATGCATCATCAGGTGGAGCACCGGAGTGAGGCAGTGGGTGAACTAGATTGTGTCTATGGGACTTCAAGCCCTACCGGAAGTCTCATTTTCCCTTTCACTTCACAGGGCCACCTTCACTCCCACCAAGAAAGGGATACCTGATGTTGGTGCTTCCTTGATGTCAGGACTAACTCAGCCATGGTGCTTTTAGTTCAATCTACAATGAATCCTGGAGGGAAGAGAATAATTTGGGATGCACTAAAGGAGCTGTGAGCAGCAGAATTCTGCCTTATTATCACCCTAGGAACATTTGTCTGAGGGCATCTTGAAATTTTGCAGAGAGGATAGTCAGAGGAAAAGCACATGCTCTGGCTTATATTGTGGCTGCTCTAGTTGAAAGCTCAGGACCTGCAAAGGAAACAAAGCAACTCTGAGAAAGTGGAAGGAAGGCTCAGACTGCTTCTTCTGGGTGAAGCTTCTTTACCTGTCTTCTTTTTCCACCAGGCATCCATTTGCCAAAAATGACCACTTCTCCCTCAGTGGTGGTTGTTGCAAGATAAGTGCTCACCCAGGACTGCTGTTGACCTTCTCTGGTGTCCTTAGCCACAAATGAATCTTCGCAGACGGCACGGTGTCATGCCTGGCTCGTATTCAGAAAATGAGTGTGGTGCTGCATAGAAAAATTTGTTGGTTGTAGGAATTGCTGCAGGGAGAAATACTAAGCAAAGAGAGCTAGGGTGTTTTGTTTTGTTTTTGACAGTCCAATTACAAAATCAACTATTGAGATACAGCCACCGGTTCTCTGTTTTATTATTACAGGGAATATGCCTTTTTTTTTTTTTTGAGAACAAGCTTTTTAGAACAGGTTAAAAGAAGCAAATGCAACCGTACAAACAGTGCTGCTCCCCAACGGAAGCAGTGTACAAAGCAGAGTGACAGGAGTCTTGGGTTTCCAGATGTGGATCTGGTACCAAGCATTAGAAGCTTGTTTATGACAAGTCCATCCTTCCCTCCTCCCTGGGATTTCTAGAGAGCAGTGACATTCAGTGATTTGCCACTGTCTTCCCAGGATGCTGTTCCAGAGAAGGAATGCAGATGACTCAATAGAACCTCTGCGCTGCCCTGGGCTGCCTTTGATGCCTCATCTTCTTCCAAGGCTGCCACCGCTACTGCCTCTTCATTGGCTTCCTTAGTCAGCTTCTCTTCTTCCTCCTGGAGGAACTGCTGCTGCTTCTCCTCCTCCTCCTCTGTCTCCTCCTCCTCCTCTTCTTCCTCTTCTTCTCCTCCATCCTCCTCATGCTGTTGTTGCCCTTCCTCAAGCTCTCCATCACTCTGTTGCTCATCCTGGTAGTCCTCAGCCAGGTCCTCAGAAAGTCTCTCTCTCCAGAACTGCTGCCACCAAACAACCAGGATTCTCATCAGGTGCCTAGGATGGTACCTTCCTTCTGTTACACGGTTCAGATAGTGCCATGCTACAAACAGCAGCAGCAGAAGCACGAACAACAGGCAGATGAGGATATTCACTGTGACAGCTCCATTGTTTCTCCCGCCACTCTCTGGATTCTCTGCCTGGATTTTCCCAGGAAGTAACAATAAGAGAATATGGGGGAGCCTGAGCTTCTGTAAAAAGAAAAGAGTCTCGATTACGATCACGATCCTAGCTTCTTTGGACACTTCCATGCAGCCGCCTGACTTGCTCCTCAGATCTTCAACAGGAGCATCCCTGTGCTTCACTCTGTCTCCATAGGGAGGCTCCCAGTGCTCCTTCTAGCTGGCCATTGGTGCCTGACAAGCTAGCTCCTCCCAGCCTACCCTCATTCTTCTCATGCCATGAAACCAAACTCAGCCATTATTTGTGAGGAGCAGCAGTGCCTCTCCTTGGGAAGCATGAGATGGTGTGGCAACGCACCATGGTACGTTGGGTAGAAGGAAATGGGGAAATCCCAAGAAATGGAAGGCAGGATAAGGTAGGAGATTCCCACCAATGGGAAATGGGCTGTCCCGTAAATCCAGAGGAGACAATGCACAGCTGCCACAACAATGTTTCCTCCCTAGCACCTACTGAGCCTATAAACCCCCCCACCCCCATATAGGGTGGGGACAAAAAGGACTAGTACAAATCTCAGATCAGCACAGCCCTTGTGTGTGAAAGGGCCACTTACTGTATTCAACCCCTGAAGCAATCCTGTAGCTATGGAATCTTGGAATTCTATCCTAAAAATTTTTAATTGCACAATAATTGGCCTCCGCTACAATTTGAAAGGGAAAGCATGGACAAAGATGGACCGGAAGTATCTTGCAATTGCTCAGGAGCTATTTAAATTTTACCTGTTAACCAGTTAGCTACTTCCCTACAATGACTTGTATTTTAAAAATAGTACAAAGAGTTTCACCTCTTTTGCGGTCTATGTTAGATAGTAGGGTAGTTCTGATGTTAGGCACTTTGCAGCATTGCTGCAGTCTCATAACTCATAAGATGCATGCTTCCTGCTATAACAGTAGCATGAGAGAGAGAGAGAGAATGATTAAGGTTTTGTCCTTGCACAAGTTCTACTTTTGTGGTTATTTCTGAAGATAAAGACCCATCCACATAATACTCAGGGCTAAATATATTCTGCACTTAAAAAAAAAGGAGATTATGTACCCAGAGAAACCTTAATGGTTTTAGAAAGAAATGCACATGCGTATTATTTTTTACACATCTTTCTGCTATTTTTAGATAATTTATTCTGGATTGTGTAATCGAAAGAACTAGGAGGTAAGAACCTCTGAAGTCTCACATCTGGCAATCTTCAGCTACTGGTTTGCTCTTGCAAACTCGGCTAGTATTGCCCAAATACTTCATTTCTTCCAGCTCTCTTGTGACTAAATGTCTGCTAACAGTGTGTTACTTTAAAAATAAATGCTGACAGTCTCAGCATTTGTACTCAAAGTGAATGGGTTTTTCTATCTGGAAAAACGGGAAATCAGCAGAAATCTCAAGCTTTGTTTCAGAAGATAGGAGCTATGTCTGTTGTAGCAGAGGCATGTCCAGCTTTTTGGCTTGCCTGGGCTGCATTGAGTGAAGAGGAATTGTCTTGGGCCATGTATGAAATATATAATATAGTTAATGTATATAAATAACAAACTTCCTTTATTTTGGAGTTCTTGTGGGGCCACATTACTGGCTGTTCAAGGATGCATGCAGCTTGTGGGCAGTGGGTTGGACAAGCCTGTTGTAGCATCTACATGAGACACTAAAAGGGCACTGCATTGCTGATTCTAATTCTCACGACTTAAATGTCTTCAAAAGAACGAAAGATGCTTTTTGCAAATACAGGTAGTCCTCGATTTACAACCACAATTGAGCCCAAAATTTCCATCGCTGAGACATTTGTAAAATGAATTTTGCCCCATTTTATGATCTGTCTTGCCACAGTTAAGTGAATGACTGCGCTTGTTAAGTTAGTAACCCGGTTGTTAAGTGAATCTGGCTGACTTTGCTTAACAGAAGAAGTGATTACATGACCCTGGGACACTGCAACTGTCATAAATATGAACCAGTTGCCAAGTGCCTGAATTTTGACTACATGACCATGGGGAATGCTACAACTCTTGTAAGTGTGAAAAACGGTCGTAAGTCATTTTTTCCCCATGTCATCGTAACTTTGAACGGTCACTAAATGAACTGCTGTAAGTCGAGGACAATCTGTAGTCCTGTCATACACTTGGACAAACTTTTCCTCTCATCTAAACAGGACAGATAATCTGGAAGGAGTTTAAACTGATTTAATGTATTAAACTGTTAACATTTTCATTGGCTATTGCAAATATGGTTAATGGTCTAGTGTGTGGTGTGTACTCAGGATAATAAACCTGGAATCCTCAAATATTGGGCCTCATCTCTGCCAACCCTTCTGCCCACCTTTTTTTTTTTCTTTTAAAGAATCTGCATTTTAAATAGGAAGGTCACAATCATGTGGTCGTCTGCATGGCTTTTATTTCTAAGGAGAATTCTTTGGTAGTTTAAAAAATAAATAACTAAAATGTTGAGTAATTGTGGCCTTGAACTTTATTTTGAAATATACCTATCTGCCCAGAAAAAGAAAAAAAACACAATGCTTAGTAGGGAGCAACCTCAGAGATGGGCTAGTGAGAAGCACTGTTTATTGTGGGTGCTAGAATGATCGATTCTTGAGGAAGAGCCCTGGTAGCGCAGCAGACTAAAGCACTGTTATTAACATCAGCTGCCTGCAATTACTGCAAGTTCAAATCTCACCAGGCTCAAGATTGACTCAGCCTTCCATCCTTTCTAAAGTAGGTAAAATGAGGACCCAGTTTGTGGGGGAAATAAGCTGACTTTGTATAAAATATACAAAAGTATGAAGGCTATTGCTTAACGTGTTGTAAGCCGCCCTGAATCTTCGGAGAAGGGCGGCATATAAATCAAATTTTTTTAAAAAAAGAAGCTGTTGAAAAAAATAGAAATGTTTAGAAAGTGAGCTTAATGAGCAAGTAAATAAGATGGTTAGGAAGAGTTTTGTGATAAAGTTCAAGTATGGGAGATCATTAACAAATCCAGTGAATCGTGCAAAGAACGGAAGTGTTGGATGGAGTTGATTGTGCAGTCCTTCCTTATCTACAATATCTGACATTTGTGTTCTACCTGAAAACCACAAAGTAAATGTATGCTGCAAATGCAGACTCACTAGATGTACTTGAGGCGGAAAGGATCAGAGCAAGAGCTTTTATCAGCTGATGAAAGAATGAAGATTTCTTGAGCCAAACCTAGGAAATCCACTTAAGAGTAGATACATGTTGCAGGGTTCCAGTGGTGGAATTCAAATTTTTTTACTACCGGTTCTGTGGGCATGGCTTGGTGGGTGTGGCAGGGGAAGGATATTGGAAAATCTCAATTCCCATCCCACTCTGGGGCCAGCCAGAGGTGGTATTTGCCGGTTCTCCGAACCACTCAAAATTTCCGCTACTGATTCTCCAGAACCTGCTGGATTTCACCCCTGCAGTGTTCCACAAGGAAGAGAGATAAGCAACAAAGTCTAATGGATGAGAGCGATTGCTAGAAAGGATCTTCTGAAGAAAATTTCCACCATTAAAAATTTTCAGGTTTTCATTTAAAAAAAATAAGCTTTGGGTTTGTAGGGAAGAGACAAGTGCTTAAGATGGAAGACTGGAGACATGTAAAGAAGCAAGGATACAACTGCTACCTGTAGAAGGTTCAATAGGGCAATTGTAATAATTTGTGACTCCCTGCTAAAAGGAATACACAATAATACATATCGGATCTGGTTTAGAAAGTGTACTGTTTCTCAGATGTGTAGTTGATGGATGTGACAAAGCAGCTGGCTTATCATAACCGTTCAGGCATTCTCTCTTGATGTTATCAAGAACAACTAATTTATCTTGGACTTTGAAGCTATGGAAGTAAAATGAAAAATTTGTGAGCACTGCTGGCTGTGTCATCCTTCCAACTCGTAGAAGAGAAGTAGAAAGCGAAAATATATTGCCATTTGAATTACCAAAAACAAAAATGGTAAGAGAAAAACATGATTTCTGAGAATATAGTTTATGTAATGCCGACAATAAGCTGTTGGCATGAAATTATTTGCATTTTAGAAAGACTGGGAAAAGTGTGTTTGAGCAAAGAATATCAAATTCAGTCTGGAAGATGGAGGAAATCCAGAATAAGATTAACTGAGAGAGTAACTTTAAGGGCCTATTAACCCACCAGTGAAAATCAGAAATCGGTTTCTAAAATGCACAGCATTCATTGTCTATCTACTAATGAACAGAATAACAGTTGGAACCTTGGAGATCATCTGGTCCAAACTCCTGCTCAGGCAGAAAACCCTATACCCGTGATGGCGAACCTATGGCACATGTGCCACAGGTGGCACGTGTAGCCATGTCAGTGGGCATGCAAGCTCATCTCTGGCACACATGCGTGCACCGGCCAGCTGATTTTTGGGCCTTCTGGGCCCACCAGAAGTAGGGAAACAGGCTGATTTCAGAGGGCCTCAGAGGGCCTCAGGGGTGCGGGGTGGGGAAGGCCCGTTTTTTGCTGTCCCCAGCCTCCAGAGCCTCTCTAACTTCCGGTTGGCAAACGGGCCATTTTTGGCCTCTGGAGGACCTCCGGGGGGGTGGGGAAGGCCGTTTTCACCCTCCCCAGACTCCTAGAGAGGCTCTGGAGGTTGGGGACAGCAAAAAACGGGCCTTCCGGTTCCACTGGAAATTGGCAAATGGGCTGTTTCTGGCCTCTGGAGGACCTCTGGGGGGTGGGGAAGGCTGTTTTTGGCCTCCCCAGACTCCTAGAAAGGCTCTGGAGCCAGGTAACAGAGAAAAATGGGCCTACCGGCCATCACGTGCCAGGAGTGGGGGGAGCAGGGGAGGGTCATGTACGCATGTGTGGGGGTAGGGCACATAGAATTATGGGTGTGGGCACACGTGTGCAGGACACCCCCCCCACGCACCCCCCTCCTGGCACGCGATGGCATAAAGGTTAGCCATCACTGCCCTATACCATTTCAGACAAATGGTTGTCCAATCTGTTCTTAAGAATCTCCAGTGTTACAGCACCCACAACATCTGGAGGCAACTCGTTCCACTATTAATTGTTCTCACAGTCAGGAAATTTTTCCTTAATCCTAGGTTGGTTCTCTCCTTGAATAGTTTCCATCCATTGCTTCTTGTCCTGCCTTCAGGT